AGAAAGATCGAGAGACAGAGAGAGAAAGATTGCGAGAGCGATTGTGAGACAGAAGAATCATGAGACTGAGCGATTGAGAGACAGAGTGTCTCTCTGCTTCAATGGTCTTGGATGATCTATTTCTTCGATGGGTTTCCAGTTTTCTAGGGTTTCTTACAATGGACCTCTGTGAGAAAGAAAAAGAAGTGTTTTCTAAAATCTGAAGAAAAATCAACATAGGGTTTCGTCTGAAATTTATAAGTTAGTGTTGTTATTTTTGTCAATTTCAAAAATTTGTTTACTTTGCTTTTGCTTGAATTTTTTTGTTGATTTACCGTGCGTTCTAATCAAAAAAAAAAAACAGAGACTTCGCTTATCGTTCGTATCGACTGATACGTATCGTTTCGTAAAAACATATTGTGTATCGGACGATACTATGTAAAAACGATACAAAACTCTGATTCGTATCGTTTTATCTCTGTATCGTGACCTAGCGTACGATACGTATCGCATATTGTACAATACTAACAACTATGCTCCTAACTAAGTCAAAATTACCTTGGAAGTTCAGGTAGAAACAGGATCACGTTCGAACGTGAATTTGATGTCAGAACATGAGTTCACAACTTGACAACAATCAGGCTGCACCACCTAAAACATTTTTAACCCTATACATACCCTAAAGACGTCCCTTAGGTCAGTATTCAATAGCCTTTAGCCTTAGAAAAGCCTAGAGAACTCTAGAGGAAGAAAAAGAGGGAGAAGGAGAAGGACTTTCACATTGAGAACAAATTAAACACACTAGGATTTAACATCAAATATCAGATTAAAGGTAAGGGATTCTTCTTGAGTTCTTTCATTGAGACTTAAGGTAGTATATATGTATGTTTTCAATCTTTTTGATAATTATAAGATAGATAAACGTTTATTCTTGATTTCTTTCCAATTGAGAAGTTGTTTTACACAAAATACATGTTTCATATTCAAGAAAATTCTTGTTCTTGATTTTCAAAACCCTAATTTTGCTAAGTACATACTTTTTGCAAGAAATACATTGATTCTTGGTTGATAAATTCCAATTCTAGTCATATTTATATCCAAATACTTGTAGTATCTTCAAGAAATTGAGATTTTTGACAAAACCCTAGAATTTTGATATTGTAATTATGAAGTTTTTCTTAGTATGATCTTTTGCATATTTTAACTCCATTATTATCGTATCTGGAGAATTGTGAAAGTTGTGATATACCAATCTTGATGGAAATTTGTAATTTGTTAAGTATGTGGTTTTTGATAAAGTTGTGATTTTTATCTCTTGTACGGTTTGGGTGTGGCGGATTTGAATTGCCTTCGAAAGTAGCCATAGAGTGTTAGAAGTTAATCTATCTCAGTAGAAGTAAGATGGTTGTCTAACACTTGCAGTCGGTTTGTTTACTTGAAAGGTCAACAACTATTGTTCACGTAGGTTCGAAATTGANGTCTATCTCAGTAGAAGTAAGATAGTTGTCTAACACTTGTAGTCGGTTTGTTTACTTGAAAGGTCAACAACTATTGTTCACGTAGGTTCGAAATTGAGGGATAGTATACCTTTCTTGATAAGGATTCATCAATGCCATGTGAAACGACATACGCCCTTCCTAAAATAGTTTTGTGATGTGGCCTTATGGGGAATGATTGAGATGGTTGGGTTTGTGTTGGGTGAAAAAAGAGGATCGTTGTGTAAATTCCTGAAAAACAACCAACCTATATGAGACAAATGAGATTACGTTGTTNGGTTTTGTGATGTGGCCTTATGGGGAATGATTGAGATGGTTGGGTTTGTGTTGGGTGAAAAAAGAGGATCATTGTGTAAATTCCTGAAAAACAACCAACCTATATGAGACAAATGAGATTACGTTGTTGAATTATTTGTTGATTATTTTGACTCCTTAATGTTTATTCCTATTGTTGGGTTGCTATAATCCGTAAACTTAAGATCATTATAAAACAATCAAAAATGTATATATGTTATTTTCCAAAAAAAACTTACTTTCTTTATATTGTTTTAAAGCCTTCTCTAAATTTGGGAGAAATTTTTTACGGCCATTTTGCTCACCCCTTACAATAACACATTTACAGATTTTGGCATAAAAGAGAATATCGATGTGGATGAGCAAGTTGACTACAAGGCAATGGAGAATTAAGATGTGGATCTCGTCTCGGAGGAGTAGAGATATTTTTTTATTTACTAGAGTTTGAGAGACTTTTATGAAAAAATGTTTTAGTTCGATTTAATTATTCCGCCGCTAAATGCATTTTAGTTTTGAGTTGTAAGTTGAAAAAGTTATATTATTTTATTGACTTTAATATTTATTCCTTATCGAATGGATGAATGGTTTAGTATTTAAATGATTATTTTTAGTTGCTCTCATAAGTAAATGGTTTATAGATAATAATGCCTTTTAGAGTGTATTTTAGGACATTACAGATCTGGCCTGTGGAAGTGGAGGGAGGCTTAGATCTATTTAGATTTGTACTCCAGGAGGTAAGTTACTGAACTCTTCTCTTTCAATTTTTTATGTGTTTNAATTCGTATCGTTTTATCTCTGTATCGTGACGTAGCGTACGATACGTATCACATATTGTACAATACTAACAACTATGCTCCTAACTAAGTCAAAATTACCTTGGAAGTNGTTATATCTGTGTTTTTTTTTCTCTCTTTTGTTACGATGTTTCCCAGATTTTGCACCTTTTCTCTATCTATCCCTTATTTTATTTTTTTTGGGCTTGGAGGAGCNTATATCTGTGTTTTTTTTTCTCTCTTTTGTTACGATGTTTCCCATATTTTGCACCTTTTCTCTATCTATCCCTTATTTTATTTTTTTTGGGCTTGGAGGAGCTATGATTTCTAAAGAGAATATCAAATTTGTGATGAGTACGTGTTTGGCGTGGAGCCACTGTTTCAACCAAAACGGTCCGAAACAGTAATGTTTCGCTCGAAACTCTAGAATTTTAGGATTCCACCCTTACTTTGTGTTGGTGTGTCGAAAATGCAGAACGTTCTGACACGAGATTTCAATCCCCCCCGCAAAAAAAAACCACCCCTAACCCACAAAGAAGAAAACCAATCAAGTGATCTTCCTCCCTTCTCCACTTCCTTCCCACAAAAAAAAAAGTCTCATTATTTTTTCAATCTTCATAGCAATTTNCTGCTTTGTGTTGGTGTGTTGAAAATGCAGAACGTTCTGACGCGAGATTTCAATCCCCCCCGCAAAAAAAAACCACCCCTAACCCACAAAGAAGAAAACCAATCAAGTGATCTTCCTCCCTTCTCCACTTCCTTCCCACAAAAAAAAAAGTCTCATTATTTTTTCAATCTTCATAGCAATTTTCCCTAGCATCTTAAATAAAGAAAATAAAAATAGGTGGGAGTGCTAGCTAAGACTGGCTACACTAAAGTTAACCTACCTCCCCTAAAAATAAAAGATATCTTCCAATCATCTAATATTTTTCTTATTCTTTCCATAACTAGACCCTAAAAAAAAGTTTACTAATATGTTGCAATGCCGTTTTCATTGATGCAGTGCTCATCTCTAACTATAGAAAGAGAAAGTTTAATCTACAAGCTGCAACAGTTGTACACCAAAACATAATCAAAAATACTCCAAGCCTGGTAGGAGATACGTGTACAAACTAGGACACTTCTACAAAAATGCTTTTTAGTAAACGTTTTAACAACAATGTAAAAAATTAGTAATTTACTTTTAAAGAAGTAAATATCGTCTCGTTATGGTATATCCACAAAGTAAATCAGAAATAAGATTTATCCGGTTGATTGATAGAAATTACTTATTGGCAGAACAAATGATGCAATTGACTCATTTATATGATAATAGAGAATACTTTTAAGAAACACCTGTGTATCTTTAAAGGCATATAGATTTTTTTGTGTTACATTGTATATTAATTCGAGAGCAAATGGAAAAGATTAAAATTATAAATTATAATACTCTATGTATGCACTTACATATCCAAAGAATATGCATTTTGAATACCTATTAATGAAGTATCCAAACATTCCAATACGTATGCTCGAGTGTATCCGATCTATTACAATATCCGATACCCATACGCCGACCTTAATAGAGTATCTGTGTTTTATAATTCCCACTTCCCAAGACAATCACTGACATATCCTATGGATAAATATTAGAGACAGCCTAATCTGACTTCTAAGTGACGTCTTTACGCTTCCAACAATACACTACAAACTATCTTAGCTTTGGGAACCATAACTAAGGTAAGAAAAAGATATATCTAAACTTCCTAGCTTAGGAAATAAATCTTTCCCATAGGTTNGACAATACACTACAAACTATCTTAGCTTTGGGAACCATAACTAAGATAAGAAAAAGATATATCTAAACTTCCTAGCTTAGGAAATAAATCTTTCCCATAGGTTTGGACTCACGCCCGGTTGTCTTAATTACATTCCAGGCATCACCTTGAAGCACAAAACACCCTCCAAGAGCTTAAATTCTAGTAACTTCCACCAAAAAGAAATTTTATGTTTCCCAAACACAAATGTCAGAAACAATATCCTATACTTTGTACTATTACTCATAAATTCAATCAAATGCTTCCATAACTCAGAACATATACATGACATAAGTATACCTCCAATTGGGTATCAAATTAAATTTTATGCCATGACAATTTAGTACATAACTAAATTGTTTACATATTGCACAATTTCTCAGATACGAGTTATTGTATTGCATGCAAGAGAAAGCTTCAATAAAAATAATCACAAGCCTTCTTGATATCCAGCCCTGAATTTTAACTCAGAATTTTAACAATTTAGTTCAGAGAATGTATGCACACTGGCAATACGAGCCCGCTCCACAATTTTCCTACTGTAGAAGAATACAATTATGCTTTCCTTGTCGTCATGACATTCAAGTTTCTTCCTACAATTTAAGAACTTAAAATGAATCAAGGCTATAATTCATCACACATGATTAGCTTTGCTTTGAGATTTCATTTCTGTGGCATTCTTTTTTCTTCCCTTCTCACACAGTTCTATTGAAATGGTAATCACACTCTCACTTTACAATTGTGCTGATCCAGTACTATCCAAAACAGACAACGGAATTAGAACTAATATTACTAGCTCTACTTACAAGGCCTCTAAAGCACGCAACCAAAACAACCAAAGTGTGTATGTTAAGAAGCAATACCTTCTTAATCCTCTCAAAAGCTCGCACAACGGCCTGCCAATTCTCTGGCTGAGTTTCCAAAACCTTTCTAAACTCCGTTCTTGAACCCTCCCTCGCTTCGTGCCACTTGGATCTATACTCCACCCCATCCTCGCCCTCCACCCATCTCACCCTCTCCTCCGCCCTTGCCTTCACTCTCTTCCCATCATCCAACTTCACGGTCAAAACTCTCCCATGAAACTCCACACCATCGAACTCCACCGCCTTCATCGCGGCCTTCCCTGCCATTTGCCCTCCATATATAACAAACCCAAAACCCATATTCCTCTCAATATTATCATGACCCTTTATCAATATCACATTCTTTATTGGCCCGAATTGCCTAAAATACTCGGCAACCTCATGTTTCTTCACCCGCAACGGCAAATTCCCTACAAATATTTTTCCTTCTTGCCTGAAATCCTCAGTTTTTAGCCTTTTTTCTGAATCACCCGAAACCTGAACTTCATTTCCCTCGGAGAGCGTTTCTTGCGGTGATGCCGAGGGGGGTGGTGGTGGTGGTGGAGGGGAAAGTTTGCTTGTTAACCAGAGCTTGGTGGTGAGACTGTGCGGTGGCTGTGAAGTATTACTGGTGGTGGTTGGGGGATTATTACCAGGATGAATAAGGTTTTTAAGAGGATTTTTGGGGAATTTAGTGGTGGTTAAGGTGGGCTTAGAAGGTGGAATTTTTTGGGGTTTGTGAGTATTGGGGCGGCGGAGGTTGGTGGGGTTATCAGATTCCTGCGATGCTTTGAGGGAGCGAGTAAGGGGAGGGGTGGTGGTGGGGGTTCGGATTGAGGTGGCGGAGAAGGATGAAGTGTGAGAGCAGTATGCGGTGGAGGAGAGTGAAAACATATCCATTATTGGTTCATGGAGTAAAGATCGGCCAGTGGATTTCAAACCTTGGTAATTGGTATTTATAGAGGGTGGACCGTTATGTGGGACAAATTAGGACACGGGTCCATGAACACAAACTAGTTTTAAATATGGTTTTGGGTTAATTGCACTTCTGGTATTCAAAATATAGAATTTATCTTATTTTAATTATATTATTTTAATTTATAAAATATTAAATATATTTTTATATGATATCTCAAACAGACAACGTCTAAATTACTAACAATTTATTATCGTAAACTTGTCACGTGATGCCTAAACTATGTAATTTGAGTTTAGACATAATTTGACAAGTTTATGACCAAAAATCGTTAATAATTTGGGCGTTATCTACTTGAGGGATAATATTTCAAGAACTAAAATAATACAATTAAAATATTAAAGACCAAAATGAGATAAATTCTATATTTTGAGGACATCTAATGCAATTAACTCTATAATGTTTTTTAAGAACTTAATATCAATGCATAAGCAATATGAACTTTTATCAAGTTTTTTATAGTTAAAATTTGTTAATATATCGTTTACCATTGACAATATAACTAATACATTTGATATTTTATGTGACATAGTTAAGCACAAGTAGAACTTCTGTGGATGGTGTATCTAGTTCCTCTCTCTCTTTGTTTGGTGTTAGGTCGTGGACGCTTGTTACAATGTTGGGTATTGTGGATGTTGTCTAGTTTGTGGCAATTATGTCGGTGTTGTGTTAGTTGTGGCGAGTGTGGGTGTGGGGTGTTGTGTCCGCGGATGATGACAAAGATTGTGGTGCTTGTTGGGTGTTTGGCGTTATGGTGGTGGACGTGGCACATTGGTGGTGGTTTTGTGCATTTATGGGATTATTGGTGGTGGTGGTGGTGGGGTGATGGTGGAGATGGTACTCTTAAAGAAATTTGGGTATTGTGGTGATTAATTAAGGCTAATCGTAATTGATTAGGTCCCTGGAAGGAATTGGGTAATGGAGTGAATAATTAAGATTAATTCTAATTGGTTAGGACTCTTTTCATGGAAGGAATAACATAATTAATTATAAAAAATTATAATATAAATGACGAAATTGGATAATGTGACTTAACTGGCATAAAAAAAGATAATGTAATTTATATTGTCCTTCTTTTACTCGAAAGGAGATGTAAAAGGGTATATTTAGGAATATGAAAAAAATTTATTTTTATTGATTTCAGCCTCTTTTTTTTTTTGTTAGAATTCTTAACGCCATTTGACGGAGGGTTTTAGATGCGTTGCAAATATCAATTGGTCTCCGTGTCGCTTTTGAAATATCTTAGGGTTGTCATGCCATTTTACCAAAGGTCAATGGGGCTTTATGAAATTTACCCAAACTTCTTTTGCAAAATAAATGTTACTTGTATTTCTAAAAATTTAGCAATACATGCATTTAAAAATATTAGTAATGCACCACGTGGATTATGCGTGAAGAAATTTGTGACAATTTGTTTAAACCTCAACAAAAAAACAAAAAGAATATGGATAAAAAATCAAATCAAATCTAATATTGAGAAAACTTGTAATTTGCAATATGTTATATAATAATAAAAACTCTCTAGTTTGAATCCAATTAAAAGAAAATATAAGAACAATTAAGTGATTAAGGTCTTCTTTGTCATTAAATCAATAATACACTTGAAAACATAAAGAATGCAATCCAAGGGCCTAAAATGCATAGGGTCATAGAGAAAGCATCGCACTTGATGGCGTAAAAAATCAAGGCACATTAGATGGAACAAATTGGATGAGTTATGCATGAAGTGCAATGAGTGCACGGGGGAAAAATGAATAAGAAAGCACAGCAGTGGTTCACACAACTGAAGAGTTGAGTTAGTTAACTACAATAGACACTATTGCTCTTTGAAGTGTACTGCTTGAGGGAAAAGAAGAGTATAATTGTTATCCTCTTAGGTAGCGTATGTACTCACCCTTTTATACACTGGTAATTATTATAATCTCTAACCGAATTGTTAGAGAATATTTGAGAAATATTTTATTTTTAGAGGCTATTTCTCCTTGGTGTGATGTGGACTTCTAGAAGCGTTGTCTTGGCCTTCTAGAGGCAGTGTCTTCTTGCTCAATGCAGGATTTGCTTGTGAAGGCCCTTTTTTACTCCTTCCGGTGAATCTCGAGTTGTTGGTCGTCCTCGGGGTATTCATGGGTGACCTGTCTTCTTCTAGGTTAGCTCAACATATGATGGTCTAGAATACTATCTCGATCTGTCCTTAGTCCAAGCTGAACTTTTTATTTTGGTATTATAAATGGGCCCATTTGAACATAATACAAAGTAGTAAATTCAAACATGCTTCCAATCAATTTATTCAACCCAAGATACAACAAATAGTAACATGTATCTGAAGGTCCAATCAATCCATGAAGATAAGCTTTTCCTCTGTACTCACCAGTTGACAGTACAAAGTCAATTCATTTGGGTACTTCGGAACCAGATCAACTTGGTCCCAAGTTCCATTCACTAGATCAAAAACAAAGACCCCATAACTTTGCTGACCAATCAACTTTGACTCGTCCCGAACCCAGACTGATTGAATCAAGAAAGACGCTTTTTATGGTCTGTGGGTGTGAGTTGTGTGACCAGTTTGCTTTCTGTGCTAGTAAAAGGCAGTTCTATCATGTACAAACTTAGTCTGCGATTTGTGTCGGATAATATAAAAGTGATATAATATAGTAGTGTTGCTCCAAAATCTGTTGAAATCGACAGAAGAATTCTAATCGATAAACAATTTTCAGGCGATTGTTTGTGAGAAGTTCAAATACTTTGTTTCAAGACTTTCTTGGATGAATTTAATGGATAAACACATAGTACAGATAACTAATAAAAGAGAATTATTATATTAATTTAATCAAAAGGACTTCAGTTACCAAAAAAACTAAATAAACAATCTTGATTGTAGCAGTAACTGCTACTCCTAAAAATGCCCATATCATAGGTCTTCCAGGGGTTTGAATGTATCATTCATTTTCTCCATTACATATCTTTTTTATAGATATTGTATTTGACGGTTTTTGTTTTCATCGACGATTATTTGACTAGTAACTTCCCATTAGTTATTCTTCTTTTCAAATGTGATTATGACTGATTATCTTCCTGTCTTTCCTCAAATTCTATCACGTGGCCAGATGTCAATATAATATTCCTAAGTCCAATACCCTCTTCTTCAGTTCTTCCTCCGGATGTCCCTCCTGTTCTTTGCTTTTCTACGAGTCTTGGATATGTCATTCGGGAGTCAGTAGATCATAACATTCTGACACCCTCGGTGGATTCTGGTTGAAATTTTGCATTGGATCCTACCTTCAAACCAAGCATCTTTCAAGAACTTTTTGAGTTTTATCCTATTTCCAAAGAAAAAGTTCTGATTCTTTATCGTCCTTATCTGACTCTTTATTGTCTTTCGATGGAAAAAAAACTATCAAAAAAAAATAAAAAAATTAATTAATATTTGTTTATCATTAGATCAATGCTGAAATCAATCAAATTGATCTAATCTCTAATTAATCTGACGATGAAAATTAATGGAATAATTTAATTGAAATAAAATTGATAATTGATGGATTAAATTAAAAAAATTAAAATTTTAGGAATTACATTAAAACCCGAGAGAAAATTTAGGGGTCATTTATGATAACTACCCAAACAAATATTAATTTATTTTTTTATTCAATGGAGTGATGTCCTTTAGTTATTAGATATTCCTATCGGTCAATCATTTAGTTAAAAGACTTAGGATGTCTTTTAGGTAAAAGAGTTAGGTAGTGTATTAAACACGTCACTTGGTATGACGCTTATAAGTTAAAATTATAAGTTAAAAAAATTAAATGCGTCAGTCTGGTTGACATTTTTTAAGGAGTTAACTCGCTACTGTGCTGGGTTAAAGACGTTATTTGGAGTGATGTTTTTAGACAAAAAATGTTAGATCAACTAACGTTTTTAAGTTAAAAAACGTCATACTACCTCTCGTGTTTAAATTGCTTGGGTTTGAAAATTATTGGAAAATTTTTTTCAAAAAACCTGTGATGGATAAAAAGCTCTGTACGGTCTCACTTTAGTGTTGCTCAAAAAAGCCGCCAACATCAAACATTCCATTACCATTAAAAAAAATAAAAGTAAAAATATTATATTTTCTAAGGAAAATATTCAAAACAGTAGTTAATAAATCAATTTTACTATGATATGGCCCACAGATTTATTGACAAATTATTGGTCCTTAGTCAGAGAGTTCACAATGGCCAATTTAAATTATTAAATTTAGGGAAGACTGTAAATATCTTAAAGTTATAATGTTAAAAAATGATTATATCATACTTTTTTGAGAGTTTAATTTACAATTCAAAATGGTCAAAGTTACAATCAGTAGTGAAGTTACAGCGGGGCACCATGCAATTTTTTTTTTAAAAGTAGAGGTTTTAAAATTGGAAATATTTATTTTTATTAGAATTAACTTAACAGGGTATTTATTCTGATTATTTAAATGGACTACGTAATTTTATTTTATTTTCTGTGTTTTAATAGGAATAATTTTACGTGTTTCGCACCACCGATTGCTATTACCACCACCCACTGCTACCATCCACCACTATCATCATCTCTTTTTTATATTTATTACTACTACCGCTATCATCCCACCACCACCGTCACTCACTGTCACCACCGCCATTCGCCACCAACCTCAAGCAACAGTCGTCGCCCACTACGGCAACCCATTATTGCCATCATCATAACCACCACCGTCATCATGGTTGTCACTATCACCATCGTCACCCAAAATTTACCATCATCACTATTGTCATCCATGGTTGTTACTACCACCACGTTCGTCGCCGCCACCACCACTACCATCGCTCACCCCCACAACAATTCATGTTTAAATTCTTTTTTCTCTCTTCTATATTTATAATTTGATTTTGAGTGTAAATACAAATATGTTTTTAACTGAATTTTTTTTTAAAACTCTATGTCTTCGGGCACAAACAATAACTAGTACAACAATATAACTCAAAACAAACAAAATCTAATAAATGAAAGGATCCCATAATAATTCTATTTGTGATGTTGAATCACAATAACAACCTTATTTTATAGTAACCTTGGTTTGATTTCACGAAAAATGTCTTTGATACTGCAATTAAATCTTTTAGAGTAATATGATAGATTTTTATGTAACTATTTTTTGTTGTGGCAGTGTGTATTTGAGACGCGCTTTCAAGTAGTGTTCTATTAATAAATTGTACTAAAAAAATTTTAGGAATTATTTTTTGATGAAATATTAAAACTTCAATTTTTGAGTGAGTTCATGACCGACAACAACATTTTATAATCGATAGAAATGTAATGGTCGATTACATTTAATAATGATATTTTTTTAATACAATATAACAAAAAGTTTTAGTACCGTAGCCGTTTTCTTCAATTTACGTGCTAAAATAGTTGGATTACATCATATTTGGGGACATTCTAACTTTTTTGTCTCGATCTAGATTTCTTTCTATATTTTTTAATTTTTTTTACCCCTTATAGACCCAAAAAAAAAAGAAAATTTATTTCAATTAATAATATATAATGTATTAAAAATATATAAAATATAATTTAAGAGATGAAATCCCTTGGCTAGTCTAAATGGGCAGCTATTTATTCACAGTTGAATCAAACTCTCTGCATGGACACGGTTTTGAAATCCACATGAAATTATTGAAGTTCATGAACTTGACCTTTTGGGACTTGTTTGGATGGATTTTTTGGTAGGGTTTAGATTATCTTTTTCAAACTTTTTTATTCTCAAATCCCTCTTTATAAAGCATTAAATTCGATTCATACTCATGTTTGGTATACAACACATACACATATAGGACTCAGGAATATATCATAATTATTAACAACTATTCGTCATGTAAATGATTATTTTTTCCTTATTCAATTCAATTCATACTCATGTTAAGGGGTACAATTATTTTTGACATCTTTAATCATTTTTTTCATCTTCTTAGACCCACCCCCTCCTAAGTTCGACCAAACTCATAATCATTGATTTAATATTCAGGGCAACTAGGAGGCAGGTTTGAGAACCCAAGATTGAATTTTCAATGCAAACATGGAGTTTTAGAGTTCTTTAAATTATTTTTTCCAACCCCATTTTATAAAGTCCGCCCATACCCCTTTACAAAATAGTCCCTTGGAATCATGGTCAAGGCTGCCTTATAAGTTTCGGCTGCTAGCCGTTGTGTCATATTTAGTTTGTATTATGATAAAATTTATTAATAATCATATCTAATTAATTTTATATTATGTCGAGTTTGTAACTAATATAAATCATATATAGATTGTGTATCATGAATATGTGTCATATTTAATTAGATTTGTGTACTTAGTCTAATGAATTTTTCTATTCATCACCCTGCCTTATTAAAACTAAACTTAAATCTGCTAAATTTTGTGTCGTGTTCCGTGTTCAAAATTATCAGCCACATTGTCCCCATTTAAAAGCTTGCCCACATGCAAAAGTGCAAGGTGGCCACGAAATATTTTGGGACCTAAAGGAACAAAAAATAAGATTTTACTTTTTAATATTAATAAATATAAAAATATTAATTGAGTTTTTATATTCAAGTTTTTGTTACTGTATTTGAACTTGAGAGAGAGAGAGAGAGAGAGAGAGAGAGAGAGAGAGAGAGAGAGAGAGAGAAATTATGATGGTAAGCTTGAACTTGACTTTTTCAGAGATTAACACTTAATTTTTCAGTAACTTTAATTTTACTGTTAACTTTTTTCTTTCCTTTTTATTAAAAATAAATAGATTTAAGAATCTTTTAATTTTATAGGCTAAATGAATAGGTCCGATCTACTAAACTTGAAATCTTTTGTTTGAGTTTAAATTTTAAATTTTTTTGTGGAACCTATTTTTTATGGATTCAAACTTTTTATTTGAGCTATTATTACACATTTTGGGACCTATCACTTCATTGGTTACAATATATTATGTCCTAATAGCATTAATGTATTACATACTTACAAATTATGTGACCTTCTTTAAAGTGGGGCCTAAAGCTCAAATTTTATTGACCTAACGTTTGGGTAGGCCCTGGTCTGATCTACACGATTTGAACCATTATTATACTTTGTGTAGATAGGAATACTTGTTTTATTATATAGATATGATTATTGATGTTTTTCATCCAGCTAATGAAAACAATATTTCATATATATATATATATATATATATACAATCTTTGTTTTTAACCATGGCCAAAACTTTCACTTTTGTTGGTTTGTATGATATGATAAGAGAGTCAAAACTATCTCAAGTTTTCAACATAATTTAGAAATTATTGATCGAAAAAACAGTTAAAATTATTATGACAGAAGCTGAGAATTGCCGGGTAAAAGGCCTCCCATAGTACCTGTGTTGGGGGAACAATGCATGTTCAGAAGGAACTGGTCAGATTAACGTTCAACAAGTCTACCTTACCCCCCAAACATTATAGATATCGTACCGAAATTGATCTTTAATAATAAAGGTAAATTTGATTGATTAGTGATTATTGATTGAAAAATATATACATGTCACGATTTTATTAGATGAAAAATAGAGATATAATACCAAAAAATCAACCCGATCTGCCTAGTTCTGAATATGTTCTTCCTTTCCTTTTTCGATCCTACATGTGACTAGGTAAATAATCCAAAACATTTGTACTAAATACATATAAATAAATGAGCATGAATTCAAGTGCAACCAAATACATATAAATAAATCTCTCTCATTGGGATGAGAAGGTGGAACTAAGTACGAAATTATAATGGGAACACTCCATACATATCCCTTCATAACAATGTGTACTGTGTACTACTGTTCAAATTTTAAGTTCAAGTTCCAGACATATATATGGAATATTGAGTCGGTTAAAGCCGATGGCTAATGATTTTGACTCTTGGGCGCGCGCTCATAATGGGTACTCGAGGGCAACCATGTTGTAGATGAGAATATAGCTGCATACAGAAAACCTCATAGAGACCTAGGAAGTCCAGACTAGACTTCCAACCATGAATACGAGACATGAACTACGAGACATGAAAGCGAAAGACAAACTTACATGGAGAGGGAGGAAGTCCAGTCCAAGGCTGCAAATAAATGATAATGTATTAGTTGAACCATACTTGGAGAGGAAGGATAGGAAGTCCAGTCCAAGGCTGCAAATAACTGATTATGTATTAGTAGAACCATTCGTGAAAATAGAATCTTAATGCACAATACCCCACGATGACATGGTTCAAAGCCCCTTCCTTGGGCTTTAGTAATCTTTTCTAGTCCTCCAGTTTGTGCCAATGGAAGAATGATGCCAAAGCATAGTTGATGACCGAGGAACCACATGTCTCGTGCCCTATCATATCACCGACGGTACCGGTAGCGTTTGAAGTTGAAATATACATGTAAGATTCCTCGTTCAAACGTGCACTTGAATCCCTTCTTGTGAGAATATTCCCATTCTTTGTTCACAACTCGGAATGCCTATATTATGATTGCAAGAAACAGAGTCACTTCGTTCTTCAAGTAAAAAAATTCAACCAAAAAATCAGCTAATAGACTAAGACAACTTACAATGTCCTCATAAGGAGGGCCCGCATGAAACCTTATAATGCAAGTCTCAGCACTATCTCCATCATTCTCTATGGTAAAAGTAGGAGCTTTTGTTTTGTCGACAAGATCTGGGTAGAAAATATTGAATTTGTACCCTTGCACGATCTTTGGAGGTGGATTGTCATGGTCATAGTGAGTTTGATTGTACTTGTTCCACTCATACCCAGTGTGAACACGGTTAAAGTACTTTGGCTTCCTGGGGCGGTATTTGTCATGCCACCAGTACACCTNCACGATCTTTGGAGGTGGATTGTCATGGTCATAGTGAGTTTGATTGTACTTGTTCCACTCATATCCAGTGTGAACACGGTTAAAGTACTTTGGCTTCCTGGGGCGGTATTTGTCATGCCACCAGTACACCTGCATCCACATTGATGGTGGTTGTGTGAAAAATACTGTCATCCAGAAGCAATAATAGGGAAAGCAGACCAAGATGGGATACCTGTGAATCAAGGTTTACTTCATCACTTGAGCCAAATACAGCATCACCCACTTCCATGGCTCCCATAGCTTTCATGGCTTTCATCTCCAAGTCATCTTCAGATGTAGTTGGCCTTGAAGCCATTGCTTCTTGGATTCGTCTTTGTTGTTCTTCCAAAACTACTATACGTTTCCTTTCCTGTTAGGCACCATAATATACGTACAGGTTTAGCATATTTTCCATATAAAATCAGTCAACGAGTGACAAAAGATGACATCTACAGGCAAGTTACCAGTATAGCCCTGTCCTCCTCGGGGTCAATTGTTTCATCATTTTCATCACCATGCAACAGCTCTGGCGAAAAAGATCCAGCCTCCTCTTCTTCCTCGTGAAACTCTTCATCCAATATGGGTTCTGGAGAGAGAGCTAGAGCATCTGTGCGGAAGGACTATTGGCTTACCATTCCTCATGCCAAAGTACAAAAACCACACCAGCTATGAAAAAATACATACCCTGATCAGGCTCGTCCTCTATAGGCCTAGAATCCTGATCCTCTTCCAAAGTATCTTGGCTTCCCATCGGTTGCTCAAGGCGCTCCAAATGCTTCTGCAACATTTTTGCATGAATTTCCTTCAAACAAGCCTGTAATTATACAAATTAGGTGTTGAGATTCAACTCAAGAGAACATAAATATAAAGGAACTCGAGAAGAGTAAACGATGTACCTTTGCCTTGTAGATGTGGAGACGTTTGAGAACAGCTTCCCAATACTCAACCACCTTGGCAGTGCCAGAACGCATCTGTGACTCAATGTGGGACTGTAGTGCTTCCAATTCACTATAGGTTTTCCCTTCCAAGAGACTCTTTACATCTGCTTCAATACTAGAATGTAGACCCCTCTCTTCAGCAAGCAACTCAGCAGGTGGTTGCTCACCACGCACTCTGGCTCGATCTAGCGCATCTTTTTTCCGAGCTTCAGCTAGCTCCCAATCACAGACCACCAGAAGCGCCTGTTGAATCCATACATGACAGTGTTCAATAATCTTCATAAATACTGACACTGGCCTTCAGATTGTTGTCTACGATAAATTTAGTACATGTCAGCAAAACAATAAAGCTATGCTTACCAAGTTTGTATACTAAATCTTTCATCCCAAATGATGTAGCACAATCTCCATTGTTGAATATTAATGGGATCCATTTATTTAATGGTGAAAAATATGCTACATCATTGGAGATGAAGATTTGGTAAAAACATTTAATAAGCATAGCATTGCTCATCTTCAAAACAACCACAAATTATAGCAATATGGTNCGTTGAATATTAATGGGATCCATTTATTTAATGGTGAAAAATATGCTACATCATTGGAGATGAAGATTTGGTAAAAACGTTTAATAAGCATAGCATTGCTCATCTTCAAAACAACCACAAATTATAGCAATATGGTCTTATGCAGAACAGTGCAACTTTCATATGAGTGCAATTTTCATATAAGCAAGATAACCATGTGTTGTAGATACTTGTATCTGCATGATTTTATGTGCATTTGTGGGCAAATAAAGTGAGGTGATCATTGACATTTCACCAAAACATTAAAGAAAATAAGAAAGAAAGCACAATCCAGATGACAAAATTGAGGTGGCACAGATTTTAATCAAGATGACTGAAATCTGTCTCATTCAGAAAAAAGAAAAGGCAAGAAAAATGAGGTAATCTTTGCCATCATTTCACGACATTGTAGAAATATAAACGAATAAAAAAAAGTGAAGATGAGAAAATTAAGGTGGTACAGATTGCCCCACTATCTGTATAATGCCCCCAAATGGGAAGTCCGACTGCTATCTAGCCCGTGTAGGTGCACAAGACTTGAGGAGCATAAAATATTACATCTCACGTAACTAATTGCTTCTCCAGAGACTTGGATAGTCTTCCAAGAATTTAGAGCATCTCCAATAGCCTCTTTATTCCCACTCAATTCTCTATTATAGAGAGTAACTTTTAAAATTTCTTGTTGGACTCTTTATTTAGACTCTCTAACATAAAGAGTCTAATTTAACTCTTCTACATTTGAAGAGTCGAACTCTATCTCTACTCAATTTTTTTGGAACACACAAAATATATATTTGACTTTTCATTCAAGACATTTAGGATAAACGTATCTCATTTACAATAATGGAGGAAAAATGGGAGGGAAGTCAAATTTATTGCCAAAAATGACAACATAAAATGATAAGAAACCAATGAGCCTTTGGTCCAATGGTACTCCTTGCCTTGTGAAGGCTTTGCCTTCTTGAGGTTAAGGGTTCAAGTCCCCCCCCCTCCCCTCCCCTCCCCTCCCAAAAAAAAAAATGATAAGAATAAAGAGTCCTATTAGAGTGGTCTAAATATTCACATTCTATTATAACTTTTTACTAAAGATGCTCTCTATTTAAGAAAAGATGTTATCTAAAATAGAGAGCACTATTTATATAAATGGGAACAATCACCTTGCCAAACATCTTGATGCGAACTTGTACTTAACTGATTCAATTATCCAATTAAAATACAAATCTCCATTTTTTTCAAAAAGTCCACTAAAACAATAAAAAATTGTTTGTCTAATGCATCTTAACTCCCTCTACCAGATTGACATGAATGATCCCTGATCAACATAGTGAGAAAAAGCTTCAAAATATTTGTGAGTGGTAAACAAAAAATCAACAAAATTTTTTTTGCTTTCTTCCTACATTCCCCCTATGCCAGTAAAACTACAAACCAAAGCATCAAACAAAAGCAGTAGCGTGCCACGGCTATATGTGCATGTGTCTGACATATATGGAATGTCTATCTATTTTATTTGTATTTAGTTCAAAGAACTAATATACATAGGATTTCATTTAATTAACAGAAGACATTGCAGGGCATGGAATAAAGTAACAGAATCCCTACTCCAGGAGTAAATATTAAATGCAACGGTGGATGACATTGTATCACTAACTAATAATAAAACCCCAAGTGGGTCAGGTGACCCTACTTGGGCTTACATGAAGGAAGAGTGGAAAGTTATTTACTTACATGACAAGTTAATTATAATTTTTGTGGGATTCATTTGCTTATTTGTTTTAATATTATTTGGCAAGTAATACCACATCACATTGTCATGTGGTATTATGGTATTACTGTTGTAATGAATATTTTCTCCTACTCCAGGTCAGATGCAAGCTCACACTGAACATGNGGTAAGTAATACCACATCACATTGTCATGTGGTATTATGTTATTATTGTTGTAATGAATATTTTCTCCTACTCCAGGTCAGATGCAAGCTCACACTGAACATGCTACTCAATAGTTCAAATTAAATCACACCAATCCAAGTAAATTTTGGCTACAGAGTTAGTTTGGGGTTTTGACCTGGTTAGATGCAGAAAANTGCTACTCAATAGTTCAAATTAAATCACACCAATCCAAGTAAATTTTGGCTACAGAGTTAGTTTGGGGTTTTGACCTGGTTAGATGCAGAAAAAGTTTATTCTGACTCAAACTTGGCCCTATTAAATTCGGAGTATGATATCACTATACATTAAGCTATTCAAATCTGAATCTGATTTCAGAGATTTAATTTTTAATATAAATTTATTCGGATAAAGAGCCTAAATTGATTAGCTTAAACTAGAAAATATGTAAGTTCAATAGACTGCTGATAATTTCTACGAATCTATCTACATAAGAAAAACAAATTATTTCTCGGAGAGGAGGCTTACAAAATATAAAGTCTACCCTCCTTAATTGCCTAATTGCCATGTTCTTGAATTATTTAATTAAAAATACATTATTTCCAATCAAAATCAGTTTTCCATGTAACCACTTATTTGAATTTTTTCAAACAGGCGGTTATCTCTTCCCCACATTTCCTTTCTCCCCACAACTTCCAGTTAGTTTCCCATAATTCTCCGCCTTTCCACTNATCTCTTCCCCACATTTCCTTTCTCCCCACAACTTCCAGTTAGTTTCCCATAATTCTCCGCCTTTCCACTTGGCTCTCTCATCTTCCTCTTATGATAATCACAAAATAAAATTGCTGGGAAGTAAGGGATGAGCAGCTATGGCCGGCCACTAGGGGTCATTGTTTGGTGCAGTGAGAAAATGGTTAGGACCGTGAGCCTATTGATTTGAATCTAAGGACAACTTTTTCATCTCATACCATATAAGAGGATATGAATCTGCATGAAAATCAGTCAATTTTCATCAGCTTCAGATTTAACATAAATTTTTGGCATGTCAATGAATTCAAACTTGTGACTATCCCGTAAGACCGATTAGGCCTGGAGCCATGGAATTTTGTTATATAGCTCTGTTTTGAGACAGAATACAAATGTACACTATTAGCTTGGAGAAATGAATCGAAAAGGCAAATAGGATTTCTGTTCTTTCTTTTGGCAAACAGTATTAAGGCATTATGAAATAAATGATCGAAAAGAATGTAATGGCAATGGCTGCTTGAATTTTCAACTTCAAGAACTGCATAAGACGAAAAGAAAAACTCAAAATTGATTTTTCTGCAACCGAGGGAGACTGATACAGCTCAGTAGGAAGAGTTATATGCAGCTCTGTTTAGTATTTTTTGAGGATTTTTGATGTTTTGATTCTTATTCTGCGTTTAATTTAAGAGTTATATATCAAGAAAAAAATTTGTCTAGAACATGAGTTAGTCCAATGAATTATAAACTGTCCTTAGGGAGGTTAGGGATCAATCTCTTTTAAGTATAAGCCATTCTTTGCCTAAGTGAAATTCTGGTCAATCATTTTCCTCCTTGCAATCCGTTATCTGTATGTATGAGTATATGAATGACTAAAAGAGAACCTGGAAAGACAGACTGCTTTTTGGCTCATAAAAACTTGTCCACTGCTGGAAAGTTTCCCTTCTTTGCCTATTCAGACTCCTTTAGCTGTCCAAAGAAACAGTTCACAGCCAATATACATAGCAGCAGTCTTGGCTACATTATTTGCTCAACTGCCGATCAACTTGCTTTAATGCAAAATGTAAACAAAAGATTAAAGTGATCATTGTATCCAACAGCTTGCTCCACAAACCCACTGACGTTTTTCGGAATTATATTTGGCAGGACAGCCAAGTAATCAAAGATATACTATATAAAAATCATGCAGGAAGTATGTGCAATGCCTTAACTAGATGCGATGGTATCAGGCAACTACACAACACCAGAAATCGGAGTTCCCTTTTAACACTTCTTTCTGAAAAGGAACGTGTCTCGTGTAACATTTGCAAATTTTAGGAACCATTCTTGCACGACATCAAATATTATGACGTTCATGATATTGTAAGATGGATCCAAAATGAGCCAAAAAGGACTAAAACGAGCCGAAAACACAAATAAATACATAAATAAACAAAAGAAAAAGATATTACCTCCCAATACTGTATATGTGTTGGTGTTGCCTTATCTAAATCCAGATGCATTTTTATGTCCTCATGAAGCTCTTCCATTTCTTTTACTGTCAAACCCTGTAATACTCAAACACACGAAGATTGTCAAGCTCAGCAAGAATATTTAAAGATAAAAAAAGGATCGAAACATGTCAAAAGAATCCTAGCAATTATGAAAAATGAAATATTAATTTCGTGCTCATTTTCAACATAATGACCTCTAAAAGCTTCCAAATACACAGCAAATGAAAGAAAATTAAGAATGAAACCGATAAAAGTAATCGTAACAATTTCTTAAATCACACCAATAAGAAAACTATTATCAGGAAGAGATTCGAATTTACAACATGAATGCACCAACATAAGCCCACTGTTTACTGTTTTATTTTCGAAAATTGCAAAAACAAAATACAAAAACATATCTGACTTCATTTTTTCATAAAGCAAACTTCCACACAGAAAAAAATATTCCTGTGTTGTTCATTCATGTCAGCGAAACTGTCAGGCCATACATTTAACTAGGTCCACCTGTTAATACCTCTTAGCAATACAAAGCATCTTCTCACCCCCCATGTCTTGTCCTCCTTATCCTCTATCCACTACCCTTCATAATAGCCAAAAAAAGTTATCAACCACCAATTCATGCAATTTTTCAATCTGATCAACCAATTATGCAATCACCACCATCCAATCTGATTTCATGGCCAAGCAATCCATTCCAGTACACTAGCATCAAATTGCAGCCTTCACACTAGCCTCGGCCACCACCACCTAAACCCACAAAATCGCCAGGCACAACTACCACCATCTTACCAGAAGCCACTGTACTACAAATAAGACTCGTGTTTGATGGCAAAATAACTTGCCAGTAACAACAATGATCAGCAGAAATTCACATCTAAGAAGGATAAAAAACAATACTAAGCAAAAACGTTTATAACTCAGATGAACAAATTGTTATATTAAGTTACAAACCAATGTTCGACTCTGCACGAAAAAATATAATGAATTGCAATAATTGGATTGGTAAGCTCTGACGCAGTGTTAAGATTAGTTAAGGCAACAACAAATATCGACCATTACTGAGGTGTCATTGAGTACTAAGATGCATTCATTGCAATTACTTCAATGAGAGTTTTATCTAGGTCTGTCTTGGTGCTTTACAGCTTGCTTATTGCAAATTTTGAGGATTACATGTTAAAGAGTCCACAGTGACAGCTAACTGTGCCCTAGAATAGATAATAACCTTATCAGATCAACCAAATTGCGTAAAACTGATAATTCAAATTAGGATTCATTCAAACCATCACGACTTTTGAGTATGTTCAATTGATTTTATTTTTCTTTTTTAGGAAAACAAAAAAGTCTATTAAACGTGTTTTCTGTTTTGTTTTAGAGCCAAAGCAAAACTGTTATTGCTCTTTCCATCTTTTCAATAACAACAAAAAAAAAAGGTTTCTTTTCTTTCTACTTAATCAATGCATTCTTCTTTTCTTTTCATAAGTTTTCTTCAATGGTATAATTACATGGTGAAACCACTGTTCTTTGCAGAAAGTACTTTCCATCAAAGATAAAGAATTGTTATATTTCTTGACGATTCACATCATAGCTTTGCATGCTAGGGCTCCGTGTGTGCGTGTTTGTTGCACACGCACACATGCAGAAGATTCACAAACTTACTATATAAATATAAAGGAACCACCTTATATCAATAGGCAACTGCAACTAATATACGGGCCATCGTTTATTCCATCAATGTTGAATGGAGCTTTGAAACATACAATAAGAATAAAGAAGTTCCCTGGATTAGAATGTTCTATTTGATAATTAAAATAAAATATGGTATCCAAACAACTGTTTCTCAAAGCAAACATATATCTAAATTTGCAACTGAATGCTTCATTTGAAATGCATTTTCAAAATTGTCGATAGTTATTATCAGCATTCAAATATCACAATACCATTTTTGGCCTTAGTTATCACTACCAAAAACATGTTATAAGTGTGTGTTATAGATGTTGAAATGCCACTATCATAGTATTCCATAACCCAGTCATAATTTCTGACTGGCATGTATCTCAAATAAACTAATATATATCCCATAGCATGCCACAGCTAGACGATGTCGTTTTGAATAACATGGTCAGATCATATACTACTTGATAAATGAATTTCTACTAAATTACAAGATATCATGCTTACTCTCGCTCCTAGCAAAAAGAGAGAGCGTGAAATTTTTTCATATCTAATAAATTAAATGTCTACAAAAAGGAAAGAGACTAACAGAAAATATCAGATAATAAAACTTCAATTTCATAAAAACATAAGGATGTTTACCTTGAAGACCATGTAAGGTTCGTTTATTTCTATATCAACATCATCAGAAGGATCAAGTTGCTTAGAAAGTACATCAATTGGCTTTGTACGCCCTTCACGCAACCGAATCTCCGACCTAACTTTGCTTTGATCAAAATGAAACTGTAAATCAACCATGTCAGCAACTCATCAAATTGCAAATGGAAGAGCAATCACAAATTTACAACAGAAAGAAAGCAAAATAAAAACTCCACAACCGGTTAAGCATGTTAGCAAATTCCTTTGTTGTTGATTTTAAAAAAAAAATGTGAAATCCATACAACACTGCACCTCTTCTTCTTTCTTCTCCCAGTCTTGGAACTCTGCCCGAGCACGCTCTCTGGCCAGCAACGCCTGCAAAAGAAAGATGTTATACAATGTCATATCTAACAAACAGTGCAAAAGAAATTAAACCACAGTATAACTTCCTAATGGTCCTTAGGATTTCTCCTGGACAAATCAACTGAAACCTCAAACATCAAAATAAAAACCAAATCTACCATTTCTTCCTCATGTTGTGCTTTTTCAATAGCCCTTTCCTCCCTTCTCTTCTTCACTTTTTCAATCTCTGACTGCAGTGAAAATGTGCATAAATACAATATCTCATCTTATTGAAGAATGAGTAACAGTAATAATGAAAACAACATCTACTATCTAAACTCTAAAGTTGTGTCCGTAAAAAACATCATTTAATCGATCAGAATAAAATTCCAAATGCAGATATTCAGACTCGGGCAAAGATACATACAGGAACATATATATCACCAAAAAATGTTGAATAACGTACAAATAATTAAAACCAATTTGTTATGTATACTGTAACCAATTTACTTTAAATTTCTTTGGAGATCTTCTACAATATGGAAAGAATCATGCAAGAACTATTGTACAAAAACATCATCGCCGTCAAATGGTACTCACCAAATTATTAAATCAACAACTATGCTCATGGTAAGTAATTAAACCAAACAAATATTGTTCAATATTACACTTCATCTGCAAATCTGTCATATCAAATAATAGTTTTTGCAACTTGATTACTCACACACACACACACACACACATAGATAGAGAGAGAGCGAGAGACCATATCACTCCAGTGGAAAAAGAGATTGCAACCAACACTTACAGCCCCAAACTGGATTGTGTCAAGTAGCACCAAGCTCTGCTCCAGATCTAAGACTACATTGGTCAAACTCGGTTTCTTAAGAGTAGAAGACATGACACCGACTTTTCTGCAATAAGTGTAACAGCTCTGTTTGATGTGCAAATCCATGAAGCATATAGAAATCTCACCAAGAGTGTATATCTGTTGCTCTTCGTCCTTTTTTTTATTTAATCCACTCTACTAGCACTGCAATTCCTCATTATTACAGTGATTTTCTTCCTCCACTATTCCATGGTAACTCCAATTTAAAAGTAATTAAATCCCATGAACGTTAGAAGAAATTACATGTCACACCCAGTAACCTTTATATAGTCATCAGACAAACTTGGGTCTGTTTCTAATTGGTCTGTTTCCAATCCAGCCTCAATTTTGGGTTCAGGCTAAGTTCTGTGAATTAAATAAACAGTCCAATGAGCCTCTACCAAGTCGAACAGGACTGCTCATAGATGCAACCTTACGAAATTTCCGCGCAACAGAGAATCAGAACATCACTAGCTTCTCAATGACATGGCTATCCCTATAATCTCCCAGTGAATTAATCAGAAAGTTAGAACACACAAGCTTTGGGAAAGGAGACCAAAAGGAGGAGAATCGCAAAATGTTGGCGAGACAATACCCCCACAATTCTTCAACTATTGCACAATGAATATAAAACATAGCAACATCCAGAATCCCAGTATTCCCCAGATATGCTAATCTTGACCATATTGACCAAATCCACAAGTATTACCAAATCCTCTGTAGTTGACCAAAAATTGGTCCAGAGGGTACAAGGTATCTTTATGTATGGTTTTGTACCCAGAACAAACATTCTGGTTCGTGCCATTAACTTCTACCAAAATCAACTATAAGCTTCAGTAAAAAAATGTCAAAATATAACCCAAACCTCTAGGGAGACATTTTAAAACCCTAAAAGCAATCAGACTAAAAGAACCAGATTTTGGAATTTTTATGTTCCTTAACAAAGTTTCGCATTATGGACAATCAGTTTCTGAATAACCAGTTCACTAATTTGTATCTGAAACACATAACCAAGATGGTAGAATACAACATGCCACAAGTTGCTACAGTGAAAAGCTATATAATACTTCAAAACAATAGTATAACTAGTTGTTGAAGTTCAAGGACATACCATTCGTTCTTTCTGTCTCTTCTTCTCAGATTTTACCGAAAACGCCTCAAGTGGCACACCTTGTGTTATATCACGCTCAATCTTCTTTCGCCACACAAATCTGCAACCCAAATATTTTTCATTTATCATGACTTTGAAATGGTAAATCATGCAACATTAGGCCACCACCATCTTCTCTTAGGAAAGCTTTATTCTTGTTGAGGTTCTGCCCCACATAACACCCCAAATTATCCCAGTATACTTGATTTTCTTTTAAGTTTCCACCATCGAATTTCATAATGAAGTTTAACAGTCTTAGTAATTGCTACCTTGTGCCAGCTCACACCTTAAAAATTAAAAAGCATGGTCATAACCATCCAATAAGCATCACATAATAGAACTGGATAAATTTCATGCTAAAATAGCAGCTTTTAGTGCTAAATCCACCAGTTTTTTTTCACAGCCCTAACCCTATGCACATTTACTCATTGAAAAGGATGCATTCTTATTTTTTCCCAAGATACAATTGAAAAATTCAGCAGACGCACATTTTAAAACGCATGTCCTCATTAAGAAAAAGAATTTCAAAATTGCTTACACGGACCCTTTAAGTAAAGGCACACACTTGAGGCTTTGAATGAAACAAGAAAACAGCAGCATGTATCACTTATGTATGTTAGCTTAAACCATACACTAACTCAATGCATACGAAGGATTTGACTTAACTTAAACCATATACTAACTCAACGCATAGGAAGGATTTGACATACTTTTCATTCAGATTGGAATCGCCAAATGGATTTGAATCATTCGAATAACCTGATACGGTCTGTGACTTCAATTTCTTCGCTACTTTCATCGCCTAAACCACAATATATGTCATTAGCCAAGGACAAGCCAAAGAAATCCCACAAGATTTTTTCCAAAAAAAAAAATGATTATTTTCACCTTCTTCTGAGCTTTTTTTGCCATGTACTCGGCAATATCTTCCTCCGAGATCTTCCTCGAACTCGACCTCTTTTGATCATTTTCCTCGTCCGAGTCCCTCGACCTCCATCGGCTACTCCTACTTCTGTTTTGCCGTTTGCGTCTCAGTGGAGATGAGTCACGGCTGTCCGCATAGACAGCCGACGCCAACGGGGAGTCGGGCTCGGATTCTGAGTCGTCCGAGGGGGTTCGTTGTCGTCTGCATCTGGAATGAGATGACATCGTCTCTCCCTCTGTTTTGCTCACGTTCCAAGAGTGCCCATTTGGAGTGTTGAAAGATGAATATTAAACGGAGTCACCCGCCTCCTTTTTTTCTGTGCAACATTTTTCATAACTTTTACAAACAAAAAAAAAACACATAATATTAATTCTATCTATTAAATAAATTTGGGTCATCTTGCTCATAGTTTTAAATCCGGCCCAGACATCAAGCAAAGGGTCCGAGGCAACGGGTAACTGGTTTACCCGTTTTGTTTACGGATCGAATCAATAATATAATAAAAAATAATAATAATAAATAGGCTAAAAAAATCACAATAATTATAAAAAATTACATCAAATATGTAAAAAAATCAAAGCTTGTTCATCCCAAAGCAGCTTTAAATCATGAAAATAACATTTGCAATGCCATTCGAGCTAAGATCTTAAGGCCCGTCATCCCAAACCTGATTCAAATCTCTTTTTTTATCAACTTACCATAATTTCTAATAAGACCTATGCAATGATATAATTATATTTTTGTTAATCCATTATCTGGCATAGGCAAAGAAACTACACATAAGAGTATTGTTTGGGCAAGAACATGGATGAACTAATTGCCTTGAAAGTCCTTTTGGTCTCAATTACTTTTATTGTGTGCTCATTTCTTTAAGTCAGTGGCTTCATCACCATCACAATCAACGTATAAAAAATCAAAGCTTCATTCAATGTGTAAAATATAGAATTATCAATCAAAGTTTCAATGAATATTCAATATTATATACAAAATAAAAACCAAAAATCAGATATAGCATAGAGAGTCAGAGAGACGAGAGAGAGAACGACTGAAGGAGACAGAGAGAGAGTATGTACCTGCTGTTGGTAGTCGTTGATGCCTCGATGGGGCTCTGCAGCAGCTTACTCCTTCGAATTTCGAAAGTTTCTTCCACTTCGATCGAGTTTTTTGGCTTTTCTTGCTCGCAGTGCAGAGAGACTGAGACTGAGAGAGTAAGAAATGAGAGACAGAGAGAGAGAGACTCACGCTGAGAGGGCTGTGTTGTGAACGTCCAACGTCGCGAAGACGAAGACAGCAGAGGCGCAGATCAAAGACGAAGAGGCAGGGCTGGGAACGATTTAGGGCAAAATGCCCAAAAGGACCAAATTACGTTTTGGGTTGATCTAGATGCTCGTTAATATGGTTTGTTTAATTTTTTGTTAATTATTGGTTATTCCGCGTCTAATTTTTGTTGCAAATTGGTTTAGTTTGGACTTCATTTTTTGAGTTTACAAAATCATAATTAATTTGAGTTTAATTCAAAATGAACAAAAAGTTGATTATCAAATTAAACAACTTGGACTAGTATTCGTATTTATTCTGGGTGGGTTCACTTGAGTCCAAGACCTAAATTCGAGTATATTTGGCATTTAAATTGAGTTTGGATTTTTTCTTTTTGGTTTTTAGCCTAACTCATATATTAATTTTTTTTACTTTAAATACTGAATATTTGAGATTAAGTTAAGCAATCTTCGAGCTAATCCATCTAAACTATAACCAACAATGTTATTTGGATTTATTTTTTAATTTAATTATTCATAACTTTTGAATCGACTCTAAATTTCAATAGGTGTTATACTAATTTAATTGTTGCCATANCTTTGAATTGACTCTAAATTTCAATATGTGTTATACTAATTTAATTGTTGCCATACATAAAATTAATAAATTGTGTCAATAAATTAGCTCAAAATAGTAGTATTGAATTATAACATTAAAAAAAATTATAACATTACTTTGTTATGATTAAGAAAAGGATAAACTACACTCAGACCCTCAAAAATTTATCACTTAATCACTTAATATCAAAGTTAATTTTAAATTTTTGGGATACGTCTACGATCAATTGGGTTTGTCAATTGTGTTAGGTGAGTCAAGTTTGTATCGAGTTTTAGCGGGTTCATATCAAAAAGTATTTCAATCATACTCGATTCATTTATGAATTCATGTCTAATGAATCTTGTCATATTGAGTTCGTGTTATGTATAAATTATGTATGATCGGTATTTAAACGAATCATATCGTATATTTTTTATTAGTTTGTATTTATATATAATTTATTTATTAATCGTGTCGTGTCGTGTCAGGTTCACTCATTTACGAAATGAGTGACTTTAAAAAGACCAAAATCCTCTAATTTTATATCATATTAATGAGTTGTATTATATTTTGATACCTCTATGATCAACCCAACACTCCCTACTTGATCATAAAATATAAAACTCGCCAAGGTGCTAAAAAATATTGTTTCAGTGCTATAATTTTATTCATTATTATAGTATCAACTGAAAAGCCCAACCATGTTTTGGTCTACAGCCATCCCAATTTATGCTTCTTTAATAAAGCACCTAGGCTTAATATTCATTCTTTTGATATCAACATGTTACTTTGCTTCTTTGTAGTGCAATATTATATTTCATGTTCATAACACGGGGTTTCAAAAGAGCCCAACATGAGATGTAGAAGAAGTTTCGTACCTCTTTTGGATAACATGATGATTTTTAATTACACCCAAAAGTGAAGGCATGTGTATTTTGATGATTTTCACAGCTTTTTGCCAAGCTGCCACCGTGAAGAGGACACGTTGACTACTGTCTTTTTTATTGCTGATGGGTTTGACTACGATATTTAAAAACAATAGTATTTTATTATTTATTATTTTATTGAGTATCTATATCACTTTTTTGGATAGAATATTTAATCAATATTTAGGGTACATTAATATGAATAGTTTTGAGATAAATATTGGTAGTCGTCGGATAAATTTATTTGATACCGTCAAATAAATTTATTAAAATCTACCATATTTTATATTGTAGATTTTCATTTACCATTTTTAAGATGAAGCTTATCACTTTTTGAAGAGAAACTTATCACCTTTTTTATTTTTTTTTTATTTTTTGGTCAAGTATCAAAAAATAAAAATCGGTAAATAGTGTTCTTCATAACTGAGTTGCATTTCTTATTGTTTGTGATACTTTTGCCATCATTCTGTGATTCTTGTTGTTGCTTGAAGTGAGTCACGGTGGTCAATCGTTGAATTTAAAATAATAGTCGATGTAATTTTGAACACCTTGTAACCAAAAAAAAAAGTTAAGTACAACTATTGTATGTTTTCTCCTAGCAAAGTAATTAGCTTAATGGCTCTGTAAAATTCCAACCCTTAATCATTCTTCAAAAAGTTAAAAAAAAAACACACGAGAAACTGAAAAATTGAAGGTCAAAATTTAAAATTATTAAAAAGAAAGTATTACTAAATTCAACTGCTGATAGGGCTGTTAAGTAAGGGGGCACGAGGGACTTGATAAGGGACTTGATAAGATGGATTTAGAGAAAATAATCTAAAGGACCCTTAAACTCCGTGTTTGGATTAAAAGAAATATGCATTTGATCTGTGGGTAAAAGAAAATAGTTGATGAACTTGAAATTAATTGGGCCTAACCCAATAAAAATAAACCAAGAAGAGGGTACCTAACTCACCAGACCCAGATCTAGAAGGGAACCAAGAGCCAACGCCCAAGGCATCAAAGGGGCGTCGCCCAAGGGGACTACCTCCTGCTCCTCCTTCATCCTCTTGATTTTGATTCAAGTCCAGTCCACTCCAAGTCTAAGCCCAAGATCAGATCCAACCCAATTTCAAGATTTTTCTCTGATAAAATAGGAACACGAGGAAGAGAATATCGAGATACGCAGGGAGATATAGTCTTACTTTAATTGTATTTACCAAAATAGTAGAAGTCCTCACCCTCACATCATCGCCTTACCAAAGCCTATTTAATGTAAACTCTCTCTACAAGGAGGGACAAATTGGCATCACCTAGAAACCACACACACACACACACAACTCTCTCTCTAGCTCTTTCTTTCTCTCTCTCTCTCAAAGCACTGTAATACTCTCCGGTGACTTTTTATTCATCAATAAAGATCTCTGGCCACCATTACCATTCCTAAGAATGGAGTAGATCACCTAAACCAAACCACTATATACATTTGTTTTGGCTCTTTATTTACTATTCTATCATTAATTGCTTGATTATTGTCTATTAANAAAGCAGATCACCCAAACCAAACCACTATATACATTTGTGTTGGCTCTTTATTTACTATTCTATCATTAATTGCTTGATTATTGTCTATTAATTACACCCTTACATATTCTCGACTATGAATTTTGTGCAATACTGATTTGTATATCATCAACAGTAATGTTATTTAAGGCATCTTTTATTAAATAAAAAGTGAGCCGGTTGTAATAGTTGGGATGTCTTAATCACTGGCATAAAAGTTCAAAAGAAAGGGACTGTGATACATGGTCATGGAGCCTCACATTAGGAATTAAGTACCAATTTACGGTAAATTTGAAACAAAATTACCACACCTTTGAAATTATTTATTAAAGTACGATATTTAAAAAAAATAGAGTTATTGACTCCCTTTTGTTAAAACGTGGGGTCAATTAGCTCGTTGTTGTTAAATAGCGAGGTCCTATGAATGACGGATATGAATACCTGATACGGGTACAACACAATACGGATACGGCGATACGATAAAATCTAAAAAAATAAGATATGGGTATAGTCAGGATACGGCTATAATAAAATATATTTAATATATTTATTATTTTTAACCAACTTAATACTTATATATTTTGGTAATTCTTTAACATATAATAAGGAAAATTAATAATTTTTTTTAGTTTCAAGAAAATATATATCGTGTCACTGTAGTATATTCACAAAGTGAAGTGACTAATTAAATAAATTAAAGTTAATATTTACCTAGTATTTAGAAGTAATTTTTAGTAAGATTATAATGTAATAGCTTTACTGTATAGTCTTTGGACATGTAATTGTAGATAATACTTAAAAAACACTCATGTGCCTTTGAAGTAATATGAATTTTTTGTTAATGTATTGTATGATATGTGAATTCCAAAAGAGATGTTAAAAGTTCAATTAAAAAATTATAT